TATGCGCCTAAAGCTCTGCTGCTAGTTTCAAACTTATTTTAAGTGTTTTTTGCCAAAATCCAAAGTGAACCTAAGGTGCACAAGGCTACCTTTAACGTTACAAATGGTAAGTTGCGCAACAGTTATTTGTCTAACTACAATATATTAATGCACAAATGCCTATTTAAGAACGTGATGTTAATGCAGATCTGTAGGCAAATAAGACAAGATACTGACAATTACGCTGTTAAAGGCTTATAGGTAAAGTAGATGCACAACGGGTATCCCTGAGAAGTAATGGGCAATGGGACACAAGACAAAGGAAATGGCCACTATATTGTTCACAGCATCAACCGACATTTGTTCTAAAGGCTCCTCTTAGCCTACTAAACGCTATAGAGCGAAAATAAATTATATTTCCTCTGCCTCTTTTATTTTATCTTGGATTAAAATGCACGGTCCATATGGAACGCAGAGTATAAATATACTGGTTGTATCGAATCGATACTCAATATTGGCCTGAGGGTAGATACTGGACACTTTTTGTTTAGAAGGGACTAAAGCATCCCTGCAAACACAAAAATTACTTATTAGTTAATCGATACTATATGCCTTATATTATTAAGCTAAGGTTGGACTTCATTAAACACTCGCGCACATTATCTTAAACTGTTCAATGTCACGAGGATTGCCTATGAAGTGCCGCATAATCTAACACTCAGCAACCTTTACTACGTACAATCTGAACTCTCTCTTACGGAGGAATAACAGAGTAATATTTTACGGAAAATAGCATAATAATATCGAAAGGAACTTCAGCGCAACTTACGTTCGGGCTCTTTTTTGTTTGGTCGGGCACTCTGGCGTTCAAAAAAGGTATCTGGAACATGAAGAAACAACAATGGTTACAAGTTTCGCCCGTATTACCCCAAAGCAAGTAATTGATGCAAATTTAAGACGCCTGGTCCAAAGATCACACTTTCTCCTTCTGAGCTAAGGTTGTGTGTGCTGATCTATCAGCGAAATCATTTAAGTCAAACTACTCGTATTTTTACAAAACTTGCAAGCAGTAATTCAGCTTTCACAGCTAATCATAATTTATAGTGGTTAACAAAGTGTCCGAGATGCGTACTCACTTGTATAAATCATTTGATCGATACCGCGTTTAGGAGGCTTAAATACATCGGGCAAAACATTGCCTTGTGCATCTTTTTTACCTAAAAAGTTCAATATTATGCTTTATAAAACGTGCAATACGACCATAAAATATCAAATCATTGCCCCGACTTAAACAATTTAGTTGGAGACGGATTGCTGCTTAGCAGATGGAAAAATTTTCAGAAAATATAACTTAAGGATCGAGCAGATGCAAAACCTAAAATAGTTTGAGAAATCTCACACGTGCTGGACGAGATTGCTTTCACTTACTCAATGGGAATGATTCCCCTTTTTGGACAGGCACTGGATAGCCTCTGTAGGAACCTGGAAAGATAAAGACGGGCTATATTTTCTTGCATATTTAAAGATAGTACTGAATGACAACAGCATTATAATAGCCATGGTAAATACTCAAGTTCTCTGGTGGTTTAATTACCTGCTTTGGGTCCCTCCATGATCTCAATCTCGGGTGGTTTTAATGCGAAATCCCGCACTGAAAGGCATTTAGTTTGGAGCATAAGTATCCTGCTAAGTGAAGTTTTTAAATGACGGAAAATAGTACCAAGCATTTTGTTAACTTGCACAAGTACGGCAAGTATTAGAACTTACTAACAACAAAGTAATCCTCGCTGATGCTTTTATTCGACGGCGCGCCGGTGCCTGAAAATTAAAGGAAAATGTATTGAGCAGGATTTGGTTAGTTCGAGCTCTCTCAACAAAATATTTGTAAATGTAGCTCTAGAACAGGACCAGTGAAAATGGCGATAGATCATAGAAAATTGCAAACTGCACACAACGATTCCTTCTCCATGGCAAACGTATTGCTTACCACTCAATCCGCAGGAACCCGCTGCTAGACGAACTTGCCTTGGTGGAGCATTATTTTCGGGACATCTATGGTTTGGCACATCTAGGGGGAAACGCAAAAAAGTGTCACCGTTCCATTAACTGAGCTAACATTTAGTTGACCCAATTTTGAAAAGATTCTTCCCGACGCCAAAAATTTTTTCACGAC